CTAAAAAAAAAAAAATTTTCTAAAAATCGATTACAATTTTTTCTTTATAGCCCGGACCCGTTTGACAGGAATTTGAACATCTTTGCCATTCACTTCAACAATTGCAGTGTAATTATTGGACTTGAGGGACTTAAAAACACCTCGTTCTGAAAAGGTCAGCTGCAACTTTCTCTTGCGAGTTTGTTGATTCATATCATGATCGGGTGCAATAGCAACTTCAGTTTCAATTTCAATTGTATTATTTGTTGTTTTCTTTTTATGCACATTATTATGGCCTAACTTTTCACGATATTTTTCAAGTGAAGCATTTATGGATTGGTGAATTTTAAGCATATGTGAAATGTGTTGTTCCATAGTAACTTCGTTTGTTATAGTTTCAGAGGTGGTGGTTTTAAAAACAGTGGTTTTAAAAGTGGTGGTGATGGTCTCAGAGATGGAAGTTTCAGAAGCGGCGATAGTTCTGGAGAAATCTGTTATAAGCAAAAAAAATCGTATATTTAGTAACTATTATAATATAAAAAATAAAATCAATTTCAAATTCTAAGTTTTATATTAAAAATGATATAGACTGGATGTATCATATATACAATGTATTTTCCATCCAAAAATTGCTTCGTGTGGAGTACAGCCATATGCTTTGTGGACAGTTGAATTATACGACATAACAAACATATCAATTACATTAATCCAGTCTTTTCTTTGTAACTGGTTACTTTGATCCTACAACAACTTAGTAAAACCATGGCCCACTGTCTGATTAAGTTGCTCAATTTGACCTTATAACTATAGATGGCAAGGCCTACCATGCTTGATTGTAATATTAAGAGCTTTACAAATTTCAGTAATAATTTTTACAACAAACTCTTTACCATTGTCACTTTGGATAATCATAGGGGGTTCAAGAACTTTGAAAACATCTTTTAGAAGATGTGTCGCAACTGTGCTTGCTTCCTTATTCTTCATAAGAACTGCAATCAGAAATTTAGAAAACATACAAATACATGTAAATAGCTATACAAAATCATTATTGACTTTAGCAAAATCTTAGAAATCGATTAGATCAATTTGAATATGCTGCCATGGTGCTGTTGATATCACATTCTTCATGTCGGTTTTTTCTTTGATAGAAGTAGTTATGGTACAAGTAGTGCATTGATTTACATATATTCTTACTTTCTCTTGTGTAATTCCAATATGTTTTTTTGAAATTGCAGAGAAAGTCTTGTAATACTCTCGATGATTTGCTTGATTATAAAAATGTTTCAAAATTAAAGTACGTATCTCTTCATCATATTTAGGGATTATATGACATTTTTTCAATGTTATACCATCTTTCATAATCGGCTTGACATAAAGAAAATTATTTTCATCAACTTCAAATTTTTTGCAACAACAAATAAAATTGGATTTTTTTGTGAAGTCTTGTTGAATATCATTTGATATAGTTTTTGACTGAAGATATTTAATGATTATTTGATATTCTTCCAAAGTTTCTGGAATTTTTGGAATCACTGGCATATTTTTTTTTTGTTTTTATATAAAATTCAGAAATTTTAAAAAATCTACTACTTATTATATGATATATATCACGTGAATTTCAGCATTATCCGATTTCAGCATCATCCCCAACATTTATTTTTAAGATTATATATAGAGATTAATTACTTAAAACAGGTATTCAAGTATAAATAATTAGTTTATATATAAATATTTATATAATATAATATATTTTTTTTAAAAAATTCTTTTTGCTAATTCTTTTATCAACTCTAAAAACAAATGTTCTTAAAAGATTTTATATCTTTATAATAATAAAGTCTATATATTTTCTTTAATAATATTGATTTTTTAATCAATAAAGTAAGCAGCAATTATTATTTGTTTATTTTTTTTTTTTTAAAAATACTTTTCTTGTTTATTTTTGTAACTAAATATAAGAAATCTGCTTAAGAGATTTATAGCAAGAATACTTTTCTAAAAAAAAAATTGATATAAAAAAATATCCTCTAAAGATTTTCAAAAGGTTTAAGAATTCAAAAAATAAAAAAAAAGAAGTCTTAATATAGTATCACTTTGATACCTGTTTCAATACTTAAATTTACTATAAATTCATATAAATGAATCACAACTCATATATTAAATTTATTATAGATCAGTATTATTTCAATAATACTTTAATACTAGTTTAGTATTTTTTAGAGTCCTAGTCTTTAGTTTCTTTATTATCTTTTTGACTTTTTATTTCTTTTTTCTCAAATATGCTTTTTTTTTTGATTTTTTGAAAGAATTTTGCTTATTTTAATTTGATCCTGAATTTTTGATAACATCAGATCTTCTAAAAGATAATTGGTTAAGATCATGGATTAATTAATTATATCAATTATAGAAAAGTTACAAGATATATTTTTTTATATATTATTAATTGTACAATATCAAATCCAATAATATAATTGATTTTTAAAAAAGTTGATCAGTTTTTAACTAAAGGAGTAATATAAAAATATTAAGTAAACTTGAAGTTGTAAGTAAGAAGAAACAATTTCTTTTTGTTTTTCCTTTTTTTTTTTTTTCTATTCTTTTTAAAAATAAAAAATAGATATAAGACTCAAGTCCTATTCCAATATGATAACAAATTGAAGTAATAATTATTTATCTTAAAAATAATTAAAAAAAAAAGTCTTGAAATTATTCATTAATTAAGTAAAGTAATAATTTCAGAAAATATGATTTTAAAAAAAAATTAACAATAAAAATTAAATAATTTGACTAATTACAGGTGATAAAAAATAAGTGCAATAACAATTATAAGAAACTCAAATTTTAGATTATAAAGATAATATTTTTAATAATAATTAAAATAAATAATAGCTTTTTTTTTTTTTTCCTGTAGTTAATTTAAGACCTACTTATCATCTCTTAATCTCCCAATATTTCTCCAGAGTGTATTAAACGATTTTTGATGAAGATCTTAAATATTTATCTCAGGTTTAAGTCTCTAAGTATAGACATTGAAGATAAGTAAGTTACTATATCAAGGCAAGCAGACTATGCTAGAATACTTTGATATCTAAAGTCTATAGCCATCAACTACAATATTTTTAACTATTCAGTTTAGCCAAGACTTATTAGGATTTAGTTAGTGAGATATTATTGGTAGGATGAGGATATACCAGTATATCAAATTTGTCTGGAAATCAGATCCAGCCTTATCCTTTCTAATTTAACTTAGCAACACATGTGAAAAGTTATGTTTTATGGGTTATGCAGTCAACTGTCACAAGTGTACCCCTTAAAATAGAACATCCTATGATACAAGCAATCTCCTGTATTCCCGACCGGATTCTTGCTACTATTGGACATATGAAACTCTTACTGATAGTTGTGCGACTAATGGTTTTAGCTGTCTGTACCTTTCTTTTTACTACTGAAAAATCTTATGAACTTTTTTTCTCTTTTGAAAATATTTTTTAGGTAATACTTGATCAGAAAGTTTACTAATCAGATTATCTATCTTTTTGACTAGGGCTCCGAAAAGTACCGAATCGATACCGAAGTAATATCGAAATGGTACCAATCTATAGTAAATTTAATATATGGGTTGTGATCTACTTATATGATTTTATAGTAAATTTAAATATCAAATTGGTATCGAACTGATATCAAAGTGGTATTATTAGGAGCCCTATTTTTGACCTATGGGATATAGTCTACTTATAGGCTGAAATAATTCAAATCACTCTTTATTACAAATTATAAGAACAGTAAAACAAAGTTTCTATTTGGAATATGTGAATTGTTCCCCAATTAAAGTTGAATCATGGATTATAGGTTAGCACTACCTTGTCTTAGCCTACTGGACTATAACTAGGTAGATCTATAACAACTTTTTTTTCTTTTTATCTTTTCTTTTTATATATATTTGTATTGTTTCTTCTTTTTTTTAAAATTTCTTTTTTACTTCTTTTTTCTTATATGATTTTTATAAAAAGAGTTTAATATAATTTAAGTTTATAGTCATAACTATAAAGATGATTTACAAGTTTTAATCCTATTAAAAACTTTAAAACTTAATTTTATCCATTAAAAAAATAATATATTATCTTTATAAATCATATCTAGAGGCTTTGACTATTGACAAATAAGCTAAATAAAAAATATTTATACTTTGTATATATTTTTGTACTTATAATAGTTCTATAATTTAATAAATTAAATAATATTAACCTAATTGCAAATTAAAAAAAAAAAAATTATATATTTTTTTAAAGAATAAATAAACACAATAAATACTTGTTTAATTACAAAATAAATAAATAAATAAATAAATAAATACTTAACAATTTAATTGGAAATAAATAATAATAATAATATATTTTTTTAATTATTTTTTTTTAAAAAACTTTATATATTAAAAATTAAATAAGTTTATAAAAGAAATTAAAATTTTTTAAATAATAATAATAATATAATTATGTTGATATTATTAAATTTATTATTATTATATTATTATACCTATACTTTTCTTTATTTGAATTTAGATAATAATAATAAAAATAAAATAATTACTACTAATCAATATAATACTCCGGACATATTATGATTTCCGTTTTCTAGTTTAGGAAAATAATAAATAATATTGTACCATATATGAAACTTAAATATTAATTAATAAAAGAATACTGTAACAAGTATGTAAAAAAAATTTTAAATTACAATATTAGATATATTATTTTTTTATTTATATTATTATAATAATTCCTTAATGTAATAATTATAACAAATTATACACATAATTGTATGTATGTACAGTATACACACCATTTATTGTTTACGATCTTCTGAATAATCACAATTTTCCATCAAGTCACTTCATTTTTGTCATCGACTTATATAGTATATACACACATAGCCTTCCTAATTTTATCTCACACCAAAATGTATTCAAGTGAATCGGTTGAG